GGAAGGGGCAGCAGGAGCAATAAATGGGGAGAGAGGTTCCAAGCTCCCTGCCCTGCCCAGCTCCATTTCCTGCAGCACCTCAGGGCAGATTGACTTTGCTGGGAAGAAGGTGAGGAGCAGAGAGAGGAAAAGCCAGTTCCTGCCTCTGCCTAGTCCCCACGCTGCTGGAGAAATATGCTGCCCTGGGGACAGTGTCATGGGGGATTTCCCCCAAAGTGGCTCCTTTGATTCTGCTTGTTTCTGGCATTTGGCTCAGAGGCTCGGTTACTGGGAGGGTGTAAAAAGTGTCTTGTAGGTTTAGTCCTGGTGGGAGGGGTCAGGTCTGTGTTGTAATAATGTAACTGAGGGTTTTCCCACCATGGCGGAGTCTAGAGTGTCTGTCTGTAGGAAAAGATCCTGGGGGGAATCGGGGTGTGAAATGGACTAATGCTAATTCAGAAGTCTCCCCAGTTGTCCTTCTCACCCTGACAGGCTGCAGAATAATGACCATGTTTTGCTCTAGATCATCCCATCTTCGTGGGGGACAGGGAAGTGAAATGGATGTGATGGATCCAGCTCAGGTAGGGGATATTTTGCGGGGGAGCTGGTGGGGAGGGTTGTTGTAGTGGGGGAGGGGCAGGAAATACACAGGGTGAAGCAGGGAGGGGGACAAGGTGTGATAAACTTGCTGGAACATGCTCAGTCTAGGGCCTGATTTATGACCAGACCCATTGGCGGGGTGAACATTTCCCCCATTTCTGAAACAGGAAACAGCCCCCCTGGACAGGGCAGGGAAAACAGACCAGAGTGCTGGACCCTGAACCCACTACCCAGAGACTGCAGAGCAATACAAAGGGAAAGGAACTGGGATTCCTGTCTCTGTCCCCTGCATGGAGCTCTGCTTCCCACACCAGCCTGTGCCTAGTAGGTGGGTGGTAAATGAGAAGACCCTGCCCTCAGTCTGCTGGGAGGGATAAAGAACTCTCACCTTCTCTCTGTTCCTCACCTATTTTTTGCACCTCTGGCACTCCCAGAGCGGTCCTATTTTTATGCTTTTCCCCCCAAGAATAGTGGGATTGTGACTGGGGCAGCAGGCACTAAGTGGGGAGCACCTTTTTTTTCAGATGCCGGTGACCTTTGAGGAGGTGGCTGTGTATTTCACCGAGGGGCAGGGGGCTCTGCTGGACCCCAATCAGAGAGCCCTCTACAGGGACGTCATGCAGGAGAATTATGAGACTGTGACCTCACTGGGTAAGGATTCGTGTTTGTTGTTTGAAGCTATGGGGTCTGCATTTCTGAATCTGGTATGGGTCCTCTTGGGCAGGACTTTGGAGCGGAGCCCGGAGCTGGAGTGCAGGGCAGCTCTGGCACAGTGGAGCTGCAGGTTTTTGCCTCGAGCTGGAGCGGAGCCGGAGCACAGCTCCAAAACCCTGCTCTTGGGTCAGCTAGATTAGAGAGGAATGGGTCCCATAGTCCACAGCTCCAGTGTAAGAGAGCCATTGATCTCCATACCTTCTCCAATGGGATAGGGGAGTCATGAGCTTAATGGACATGCTAATTCACACCCATCCCTCCAGCTCTCATGGGTGCAGAAGCAGTGTATTATCCTATCTCAGCAGTTCTCAAACTTCATTGCACCCTTCTGACAACAGACATTACTACACGACCCCAGGCAGGGGAACCAAAGCCTCAGACCGAGAACGAAGCCCACCTTCAGCCCAGGGTGAAGGGGCTCAGGCTTCGGCTTCAGGCCAGATGAGGCGGGGGCTCGGGTTTTGACTTCAGCCCCGGACTGGAGGGACTCAGGGTTTGGCTTCAGCCCCAGGCGCCTAGCAACTCTAACGCCAGCCCTGGAGACCCCATTAAAATAGGGTCGCGACCCACTTTGGGATCCTGACCCGTAATTTGAGAACCACTGTCCAATCTGCATTAATTCTCACTCACAAACAGAATCTCTGTGCACACTCCTTCCTGGGACTAGCTCCATGTGTGGGGAGGGCTCTGGGTGCTGGAGGTTTAGACATAGGCAGGGGTTTAACACCAGAGATGTGTGTGCCTCAGCAAGTCCCCCAGAGCCCACAGATCCTGAAAACTCCTAGTGAGGGTGGGACAACTCCCCCCTCTCCAGACATCAGCCTCTCTGAAGGGAGCTCAGTGACCAAGTTCCCATCTGTTCAGAGCCCACTACACCCTAGGAAATTATGGAGTCAAGGTGTGCCTTTGTGACAAATACTCCACCGATCCTCAGTGCACTCTGATCATGCCTGATTTCACACCATGAGCAGGATTTCCCATTCCCAAACCTGACCTGGTCGCCCGGCTGGAAGCAGGGGAAGAGCCGTGGGTCCCGGATTTCCAGGCCTCTGAGGAAAGGAAGCTCCCAAGAGGCACCTGCACAGGTGAGGAGTCAGTGACACTGACACAGAAAGTATCTGGCAAATGAAGGAAAATGCTGAAAATCTCCCAAATGTAGTCTGAGCCCCCTCAGTTCTGTTCTCACCCAGTTCAGGCTGTGGTCAGCAGGTGTCATATCATCATGGTAGATATCGCTCATGGCTTCCCACCCACCCTGTTATCTGTGAGGAGTTTTCTCCCTGACTTCTCTTCCCTTTGAGTGTTTGGATGGGATGTGGAGGCAGAATCCAATTTCTCAGTCTCCCCAACAGTTACTGTGTTGTGTTTTCCCTCTTTTCTGTTCCCCTTTCTGTCCTTTCTACCAGTCCAAGCAATGATTCCTGCCTGGATTCTCTCTGTACCCCAGCAGGTGACAAGACAAAGAGTGAGAACGAGGAGGGGAATCCACTGCAGAAATGTCCTGAGCAAGTGGAGCTGCAGAGGACATTTTTGAGAAGAGCTGAAGAGAATTTTTCCCAGTGCTTGGAACAGAGAAAAGCCTGGAGTAATTGGCACAAGTCAGAGAGGAAGTTGGGAAACCACCAAAGGAAGAAAGTGGATGAATCAATTGAATGTGGGGGGGCAGGCAAGGATCCCAAGGAAATCACAGCCCAGCAGACAAATCACAAGGAAAATAAACCCTATAAATGCTTGGACTGTGGGAAAAGTTTCAGTCGGCGCTCCAGCCTTATTAACCATGGGAGAATCCACACGGGAGAGAAACTGTATAAATGCTTGGACTGTGGGAAAAGCTTCAGTCAGTGCTCAGGCCTTATTAACCATAGGAGAATCCACACAGGAGAGAGACCCTATAAATGCTTGGACTGTGGGAAAAGCTTCAGTCAGCACTCAGGTCTTATTAACCATGGTAAAATCCACACTGGAGAGAGACCCTATAAATGCTTGGACTGTGGGAAAAGCTTCGATCGGAACTCAAATCTTACTATCCATCGGAGAGTGCACACAGGAGAGAGACCGTATAAATGCCTTGAGTGTGGGAAAAGTTTTAGTCAGCTCTCAGGCCTTATTAGCCATGGGAGAAACCACACGGGAGAGAGACCATATAAATGCCTTGAGTGTGGGAAAAGTTTTGGTATACAATCTTCCCTTATTATACATCAGAGGACCCACACGGGAGAGAAACCCTATAAATGCTTGGACTGTGGGAAAAGCTTCAGTCAGCGCTCACGCCTTATTAGCCATGAGATAATCCACACGGGAGAGGGACCATATAAATGCCTTGAGTGTGGAAAAAGTTTCAGTGCACCATCAGTCCTTATTATACATCAGAGGACCCACACGGGAGAGAAACCCTATAAATGCTTGGACTGTGGGAGAAGCTTCAGTCAGCGCTCAGTCCTTATTACTCATAGGAGAATCCATACGGGAGAGGGACCATATAAATGTCTCGAGTGTGGGAAAAGTTTCAGTGTACCATCAGCCCTTCTTATACACCAGAGAACCCACACGGGAGAGAAACCCTATAAATGCTTGGTCTGTGGGAAAAGCTTCAGCCGGAGCTCACATCTCATTAGCCATGGGAGAATGCACACAGGAGAGGGACCATATAAATGCTTGCACTGTGGGAAAAGCTTCAGTCAGCGCTCAGTCCTTATTAACCATGGGAGAATACACACAGGAGATGGACCATATAAATGCCTTGAGTGTGGGAAAAGTTTCAGTGTACCATCAGCCCTTCTTATACACCAGAGAACCCACACAGGAGAGAAACCCTATAAATGCTTGGAGTGTGGGAAGAGCTTCAGTCAGCGTTCAGGCCTTATTAGTCATGGGAGAATCCACACAGAGGAGAGACCCTATAAATGCTTGGACTGTGGAAAAAGCTTCAAACGGAGCTCAAATCTTATTATTCATCGGAGATTGCACACAGGAGAGAGACCCTATAAATGCTTAGACTGTGGGAAAAGCTTCAGTCAACGCTCAGGTCTTATTAGCCATGGGAGAATCCATACGGGGGAGAGACCCTATAAATGCTTGGACTGTGGGAAAAGCTTCAGTCAGCGCTCAGTCCTTATTAACCATTTGAGAACCCACACAGGAGAGAGACCCTATAAATGCTTGGACTGTGGGAAAAGCTTCAATCGGAGCTCAAATCTTATTACCCATCGGAGACTGCACACAGGAGAGAGAGACTGTAAAAATACCTTGAGTGTGGGAAAAACTTCAGTGAGAGCTCAAAACTTCCGGAGAGAAATCATATAAGTGCCTCCACTGTGGGGTAAGTTTCATTCAGAGATCAAACCTTGCTTCATATCAGATAATCTACACAAGAGAGAAACCCCATAAATGCTTGGATGATGGGAAAAGCTTCAACAACTGCAGGAAAAAAATTCAGTCTGAGCTCAGACATTATTCCACATTCGATAATTCACAGAAGAAAGACCTTGAATGTGATGGAAGCTTCATTTGGTGCTCACATCAGAGACTTCTCCACATAGGAGAGAAATTCTCTCACTGCCCTGACTAGGGCTGGCCTTAGTAAAAACTCCATTTCTCAATTCCCATATGCCTCAGTGGCGTGTGGCTCCCAGGTATCCAGCTGCCCCGCAGGTTCCAGCAGCAGCTGACCCTGAGCTGATCAGGGATCCTCTGGCTTTGCCTTGTTTAAGCAAACCCCAGGCAGAGGAGGAGAAGTACCAGCCAGCCCCTGCTGCAGCCCTGGCTGCTGAACTGATGGGTCTTCCTGCCTCCTGCTAACCTGCTGGGGGAAGGGAGAGAGAAACTCCTCTAGAAGATCCCTCTGCCTGGATGAAGTTCCCCCATCTCTCTTCCCTTCCCAGATGTGATGCCCCTTCCATGGAGATGAGGGGAGGGATACTTGGGCCAGGCCCCACATTCACTCTGGACACCTGTCCCCACTCCCCATTTCCCAGCAGTCCCTGGGCTGGAACTTCCCCACTTATCTGGAGTTGGTCCCTGCAGGGTGAGTGTCCCTGGGGGTTGGCAACTCTTCCCCTCCCTAAATCCCCTAAGGTGCTGGGTTCTGGGGGATCAAATGTGAAGGGACCAGGAGGGATGGGTTTAGGGGAGGAAACTGGGGGATTGAATGGTTGGGTCTGGTGGATGTGGGATACAGAGGGTGCTGGGGAAATCAAATATTAGGGATCATGGGATAAGAGAGGAGAGTAAAGGGAAGAGAGCTGCTGCCTCTTATACTCACCCCCTCTGTCCCTTTTCCCTGCCCTCTCTGCATTCAGAAAGCACCACTGAGAGGACTGATTTTCACCTGGTCCTTTGTGGGATGCCTAAAGGCCTAGGGATCCTGTTACCCCAAAATTTGGACCCAAGGTGCCCTAATAATGGCCTCCCTATAACTGCAAAACAATTGTGAATTTGGCCCATCTCAATGGGTGGCCTGCCCTAGAGGAATTGCCTGTGTTTTATCAGGGAGCGAGTCTCTAACCCTCAGCCAACTCCTCAGAACAGATTAGTTCTGTTAACTCGTGGGAGGATATATATACAGCCCTCTGCTCAAAGGATTGACACTGTGGTTGGAAAGATGGTTGGGATTAGCTAGCAAATCTCCTCCGACCCTCCCCCACTTTTCCTAGTCTAGACTGACCATCATATATAATGCTTTGCATTAGCAAAGCAATTATTGGAATCACTGAGTTCCCCTTTGCTCCTGGTTATGCCAAAAACATTTATATTTTGTCCCTTAGAGACCAGAATTAAATAGATTCTAAAAGTGCTTTAGCAGGGATAGCAAAATGTGGTGTTTTGGGGTCTGTGTTATATGAAGGTGATGGGGTGAGTAGGAGGGATTCCCTCTTCCTCACTTTACTGTCACACTCCACCCCAACACAGCAGCATCTGTCTGACCCTTGGAGAGTCCTGACTGAATTTGCTGCTTGGCTGTTACTGAGGAGGCTCAGGTGAATTGAGGATGCTGAGTAACATCAGCTAAAGCTGCTGCCCTGATTTTGCCCTGCCTTGGGATGACAATTGCTCCCTACAGTTCATGGAGTTAAAAGGGTGCAGAGGGGGCAAATCAGGGGTGGGATGGCAGAGTCTGTGCAGGGTGAAATGGCACAGAAGAGACAAACAGCTGGAGGCAGGGGGAATAGAGGGTCTGAGGGGCAAAAAGCAGGGATGGGGTAGCAACCAGATTAGGAATGGGATACAGATGCTGGTAGACATGGGCAGAGATGAAAAACCCTGGAGTAGAGAGGGGCAGACGAGATAAAAGTTACCCCAGAGGGGCTGAGCCATAACAAAAATAGAGTGTTTGAGGCAGAGGGGCTCCCCTCCCACCTTTCAGGGCCATGTTGCTCAACAGCCACTTCCCAGGGATGTTTTCTTAATGGCTCAGTGCATCCCAATACCTAGACACGGCAGCTCTTCTCTGTCTGATATGGTGTATTGAGCTGCTAAAGGAGACTTGATTCCATGAAATAGTCTACACCCCCGCCTCCAAAAAATATAATCATCAGATGTGTTTTTAGTGTTTAAATGGATCCCATATTACTTTATATGCCAGCATAAAGCCTCATAGCAGTTCACAAATCCATCTTAGCTGCTGTTCTGGTTGTCATCCTCTATAAATGTAGATTTTTGCCTTTAAATTATCTACTTTTTAAAATGTTATTTTTATTACTTATAGCTCTTCATCATTTACCTTCGCTAACATTGTGAGATAGTTGACACTGGGCATCATTTTGCATATTTGTAATAGCAAATATAGTAGAGAGAGCCTGGGGCACTGGGCCTGGTGCAAGATCTGAGGCCTGAACCAGAGGCAGTGAATGAAAGTCAGGCCATGTATTAAAGCAGATGCTCACAAGTTCACTGCCCAGTACATGAACTTGACAAAGTTGTTGCTAGTGTACTAGGCACTAGAGATTTACGTAAATATATTCCAGCTAGTACAGATAGGTTCGTTTGACAAACAATGGATAGGGATGTTTTGTCCAAGATATCTGGAAAAAGGGGAGGTAAACATCTCATGAACCATGTAAGGTGGTACATAAGTTGTTTATCACAGATTGTATGTTTCAATCTATAAATGTTGGGGTACCTCACTGTAAGCCTTTGTCCGGCCTAGGGGGCAGCAGAAAGTCTTGCTGCTGACTGGCCTGGTCCAGTGTAATGGGCATACATGTGACAGTGTACCTGTAGAATCTGTGGGGTGCTAGTGTGACACTGAGTGAGAAAAGGTTAGTCAACTAGCAGGCTACATGACCCAAATCCAACTTTTAGAGACATATTAAAAAGTATGAAAATGGTCATTAGGGCCTTTCCATGTTAGATAAACTAGAGCTTTGAAATGTAGACTTCTATTGTTAGAGAATTAGAAGAAGATAGTGATTGTAATTGTCTGTGTTTACCTATATCTTGTTAGAGATTAACAATGTAACCTGTCGGTCACTATGTTCTATTGCAGGGCTTGGCAACCTATGGCGGCACGCATGCTGATTTTCAGGGGCACTCTGCTGCTGGCCTGGGGTTCTGTCCGCCGGCCCCCTGCCAGCCAGGGTCCCGGCTGCTGGCCCTGCTGCTGGCTGGGACCCTGGCTGGCAGGGGCCGGCGGCTGGGACCCCGGCCGGCAGCGTGCTGGGGGCCTGGCCGCCTGCCCCACTCAGCCCGCTGCCAGTCTGGGGTTCCGGCCGCCGGCCCCTGTAAATGTAAAATGTATTACTGGCATGCAAAACCTTAAATTACAGTGAATAAATGAAGACTTGGCACACCACTTCCAGAAGGTTGTGACCCCTGTTCTATTGATTCAGAAATCAAAAGAGAATTTTAACATTTTGATGAAGCTTGGGTGTAACAATATCATTGTCTATATTTCTCTTTGAAATTTGTAGTAATCTGTCTATGAACTGCTTAATGGATAATTACCTTAGGCTGATGAATGCAACTAGTTACCTGTGTATACATAGAAAATAGGAGGTTTTACTTCAAAGCCACAGTGCTTCACCCAAGGAATATCTGCTGTCAAGAGGCTGCCAGAGAACTATAAAAGGAATTCTTGGGCCCTGATCCTGTTATCTCAGATCTACTTAAGCTTTGTCAGGGGAAGTTTGAGTCGCAAGACTGAGGTCTCCAGCTCCAGTCTGGACCATCCTGACACTGGACTATAACCTGTGGAACTAATTCTGAAAAGAAATTTTTGCAACTCTGAAGCTCACCATCTCTACTATGAAACTGACCATAGAACTCTATTCATATCTGTATATATAGTGATCTTTTAACACTTTTTTTTTAATTAAATTTTAGTTTAGATAATAAGAATTGGCTGTAAGCGTGTATTTGGGTAAGATCTGAAATATTCATTATCCTTATGGGTGATGTGCCCAATCCTTTGGGATTGGTAGAACTTTTTATATGATGAACAAGATTTTCAGTAATCCTCATTGTATTTGACTTGGGTGTCTGGGTAGGAGCCCAAGGCTGGGTTGCTTTAAGAGAACTGTATTTCTGGCTTCTGGGTAACCAGGAAGGTATTGTAGAAGTTGTTTTGTTGTTGGCTTGGTGAATCTAAGTATTAGAATAACCACCTGTTTGGGGGATTGTCTACTCCAATCTTTGCAGTTTGCCCTGATTAAGCAATCTCAGTGTTGCCCCCCTGAGACTCTGGTGACTGCTTCGTTGACAATAAACTTGGCTGAGCACCTTCACCACTGAACCAAGTCTGTGGTCTTTCTGGGCAGTGCTATCAAGGTCTGCTGGGCCAGTTACCTGTGCAGAGCTGGAGAGAACACACCACAAGCCAAATGACAACAGCAAATAATCACTGAAAATATGTTGCTAGTAATTTCAGCAATCACATCTCAGTTTACAGCACTTCCTGGTTTGCACTGTAACATTCATTTTCATTTCTAATATTTTTATATTTACACAAGTTCATTCTTATATGACATCAAGTATGACAGATCACCTGTATTGGTGTCAAAACTTTGCATTTTTCCTTTAAACCACCAATGGGGATTGCCTTGTTATTTTGCCTCTTGATCCAACACACTAGTGCTTTTTCACACATTGCCACTTGTGAATAGAACTTGATTCCCAAATATTCACCATAGGCCAGATTTTTAAAGGTCGAATGCACTTAGATGCTTTTGAAAATCCCACTAGTCACCTAAATACCTTTAAAAATCTTGCCCTAAGGGCACTGGACTATATTGTAGGAAATCTTTCTCAAAGGCAAATATCTACTGAAAGTTTTGCTAAACATAGATATACAGCTCCCAAGATATGAAATTTAAAAACAAAACAGACACCCCCCCCCCCAACAACTACTACTAAATACATTATGGGTTCTTGTTATTTGCCTTTTTTGTTCCTGGGCCTTTAGAGGGCACTACTTTCATACTTCTGCTGTTATCTCTGCCAAAGAATCCATCTATCTAAAATGGTTGTACATTTCAATACCATTTTGGACTCCAGTAACATGTGCCAACCCCTTTCTAACTGAAAATGTATTAAAAATCCTTAATCCCCCATCCTGCAAACACTGAAGTGCACACTTAACTCTACTATTACTTCATTTGTTGCATATATAAATGACGTTTTTTCTACTGGATTGTTTATACTTCTAATTGCATATTTTAATTCCATAGCCTTTTATGTGTGCTATTTATTTTGACACACTTCAGTGATATTCTTCATTCTGACAGGTATACAATCAAAATCAAACATTTTTTAAAATGAATTATCCTGTTCCTCTTTTGCACTTTAGGGACAGGGAGGCAGCAGGAACCTTACTTAAGTGCCTTGTCTCCACTATGTTTTTTATGCTGGGATAGCTAATACATGTTATTTAAAATGTGTGTTTTTACTACATGATATCAGTATTGAGGACCCAGACTATAAAGCTGACGCAGATGTTAAATGCACCATTATTGTTCATGTCTTGACAACTCTGATACTCCCTGTGTGGCTAACACTGCACCTTTGCTATCAGAGTTATTTGCATCTATCTGCAGCCCCCACATTTGTGTGTGTCTCACGTAAAGCCACTTAAAGTATTTTAAACTAAAGGAATTAACAGACTCCCCCATTTCCCTTATAACTTTCCCTTTATTAAGGGCTTCTGCACAGGGTGTGACACTAAAGGTGTGAAGCTAAGGAACTTAAGTTACAGTGCTTTAAACCCTCATGTGGACATGTTGATAGGATCATGCATAAGTAGTGGCTTTAGTTTTGACAATTGCAATCAGAAGATTTCAGGAATCCTTCCTCAAAACACTGCAATCATCAGGCCTTTGATCTGTCTTGACCATTTAAAAATGTTGTATAGTCCAGGTGTAACATGCATTTGGTTTTTTTTAAGTCCAAAAAGAAGGAGGGACGCAGTGGATCACTCACCTTAATATTCCCGAGTGTTGCCCTGGGTAGAAAAGCCTTTGCAATATTTCACAGGTATCAATTTTGGCCTGGTAAAATATCAATAAATGGTTCAAGGTTAAAATTTAAGGCGACCTCGCTCCTTCTTTCTGCCCTGTGCTGATCAGAACATCTTTCATGAGCAGGAGAATGAAGGCCTGGTAGTGTCATGATAGATCCTATTGTGCACACCGTGGGTGTTGGCCTAGCGGTACAGTGATCCACTCTATAAGCAATGTATAGAAAGTGATGGCACCATGTCCCATTAGAATTAACCAGATGATCCACGGTTTTGGTGCTTTAACTGTAAAGATTCCTCTTTGATCTCAGCCTCTACCTGCTCGCTAACAACATGAGATATAAACCTTATCTGTTACTATGTGCTCACAGGAAAATTTAACTCACAAACACAGCACTAGGCCCCATCACTGTGAACTGGGCTGTGAAATGTACCAGGACTGACAGAAGGAAAATAAACACAGACTCCCCTGGTACTGTAATTATAGTTCAGACCTTTTTGCCAGACAGACATTTCTGCTCCAGCTCCCTCTGTGTTCCTAGCTTGTAGCAACTTAAATCATCTCAGCACTATGGAAACACCAATCAGTTCCTGAGAGATTGTGAAAGTCAATAGGAATCAGGCACCTTCCTGCCAGATTCATAGCTTTGTAAGGCTACCCCAGTGCTTCTATATCCTGGGAAATTTCCCAAAATCTGGGAATTTTTGAGTAAAATGTTTCAATTTGGGAAATTGGGAATTTTCATTCAAAACCTAAATAATCCTGGGAAAATTTCATAAAAAGTAAAAGACTTTCCAAATCTCAAATCCTGGGAAGTTTTCATAAAAGGTAAAATATTTGGGTTAGGGTGAGTGTTAGGGTCGGGCTGTGCTGCTCTCCTATTGATGGTACTTCATGAGAGCACAAGTGAAGTGACACGTGTGCACATGCACTCACAACAAAGCGTGCTATTCCCTTCCCAGTCCTTGGCACAGAATAATTTTGGAATCAGGGAAACATTTTTTAACTACTTCAGTCAAGCGTTCTACAGATTGAATACTGACATTGTGTTCAGCAAAGTAACAGGCCATTCTAATCTCTGCATTTTTAACTTGATCTTCAAATTTTTGTGCTTTTTTAATTTCACAATCTTGTTTATTAAACATGTCATCAATTTTCTTTGTATTAGATACTGTCTCAACCTTTTGTTTGTTTTTTACCATTAGCGTGCTTATCTAACTCACTAGTACCTGCCTGGATTTTTACATCACAACATTTGCAATAAGCTAAAAAACGATTGTTTTCTAATTTCTGCAGCCAGTCTTTGTATTTACCTTCTTGAAGCCATGAGTCTTGTAAGGGTTTTTTGAAAGTAGATGGCTTCTCTTTTGGTGGAAGTTCACCCCGAGACTTCAATACTCTGTCAGGGGTGCTATCCCGTTGTTTTTGTTTCGACGTGGACGGATCTTTGTCTACTCCTGCAGTCCTCTTCCTCTTCTCACCAGCCTTACCGGTCTCTTTATTCATTTTTTACGTTAGATAAAAAATGGAAAGAGATCTCTGAAATAATGGAATGCGATAATTAGTATAATGTATATTTCAATTTATATTTAAATCAAAGAAGGGAACATATTATATATTATTACCTAACACAGTAGGCGAAGATATTTAATATTTGCCTGGAGGAAATGCGTCTTAGAGCCTGGGTGCATGAAATAGCAGTGTAGACATAGGGCTCTGAGAGGTAGAGTACCTGCCATGGAATCGGTTTATCGCTAGGACCCAGAAGGAGCTGGGGAGGAGGGAGCGATCACCAGCATCACTCAGTCCTGACAGCAGGAAGTGAACTGCACGGAGTCTATAGTAACTCTTTGTTGCTGTGGAGAGTCGACGCTTCTTGCAAGATCCCCGTGTCCCGGCTGCAGCCCGGAGAGGTGAATCTCCATCAGTGACATTCCCGCTGCTCCCCAGGAGCCTCTCCCAGTGCAGAGATCCCAGCCTGGCCAGGACACCCCCTTAACGGGAAGATCCTTGCTCCCAAAGAAGGCACTACGGGGGAGGGGGGAAGGTAAGAGAGACCCTCTCATTTTCCCTCCGTCCCCCACAGGGAGCGATGTCTCCCGGTTCCACCCTGGCTGGCGGGGCAGGGGGATGCCCCAGGCTGGCTGCGATTCCCTGCATTGCGTATAGGAAAGATGGCCGCCACCTCCCATTGTTTGCAGTGTGTGTGAAGCCAGCTTGCTCCAGTATCAGGGTGAGACAGGGATATCTGGTTAGCCGGAGCTGGAAAGGGGCTCTGAGAGCCAGAGGGCATTGAGAGATGAACAGGGATGTGTGAGGGGGCGGGGAGGACAAGGATGAGGGGGCGGGATGGGGCCATGGGAATGTGGGGCCGCTGAAGGGAGGCTGAGGGAATCCGCAGGGGGAGAATTCTGGGGCTCCGGGGTACAGAGCTGGAACAGAGGGAAACTCTGAGTGGGGGGATAAAGAGAAGGAAAAGGGGGGATTTGAGGAGAAGGGGTGTCGGGGAGACTGGAGGAAGAATATGAGAGCAAGCGGAGCCTGGCTGGGGAAGGGAGAGCCAGAGAGTAGGAGAAGGGAGAGGGATGGTGAGAGATACAGTGGCAG